GAGTATCTAGGCCTATTTATTGTCTTATGTAAACATAAAATACGAAAATAAAACCATGATTTTAAAATGCACAGGCTATGATATTAAAATTTCTAAAAATCGAATAAATGAAAATCCATCAAACTGTATGTCCTATGTTGATGTAGTAAATGCTAACACATTTTAGATCACAAGCGACTTGCAATCAAATTATTTGCGCATGATTGGCCGATAAACAAATCTATTTATAATTATTTATCCGTCCACAGGCACGCAGCTTCAGTTGTTTGTCTGCTTGAGCAGGACACGCAAACGAACCGGTTGCACTACGCACAGTGTTCATTATTGTTACGAGTGCACATGAGACAGCAGCAAACTAACCCGGTTGAACTGCGCACAGTGTTCATATAGATCAGACCAAAACCCTTCCAGTTTAATAAAGATCGGACCAAAACGGGTTCAGTTTCATATAGATCGGACCATAACCGGTCCAGTTTTATGCTCTTTCTGCCGTATGCCCCCCGGACTTATGTATGTCCCACGTCCTTCTGTGTCCATGAGTAATTTCATTTATCGCCCATTTGTAGTTAGCCTATTAATAATTATTGTTTATATTCGTTTAATTTCGATACAAAACAATATTTTGTTGAAGTCTCTTGTAGGCTATATGAATACACTGTGGTTCATTCGTTATTAATTATTGAGTGCAATAGGCGCATGACACATGAATGGGGCTGTATGTATTTGGCGGAATTCGTTCTGTTTATTTAGTGAAACATATTTCTTTATAAACGTACCTCTTTTTTTTGTAGTTCAACCAAGCCAATCAGACTATTGTCTATATGTGTTCTCGTAGTATTTGTCTGTGTATCGCCCATTCAACCATTGCCATATAGGCTCAGTGAAGTGTGATCGGTGTCTGGGTACCGCAATTAGGGTACCAACGCCCAGCGGCGTGGGATTTTGGCGACAGGAAGGCAGTTTAGGTATCAAAAAACATGTAAATAGTAGTTTTATATATTGTTCGGTTTGTGATTTTGCAATTCTGAAAACGGGACAAGGTAAAATGCACGTATTTAGGAAAAGTCATGGAAGGACGCGGCTGTAGCTTTTCAACATTATGTATGTATTTTAATTACTAACCGCTGTGTGTTTTCGGACAAATTATTTATTTGTGCTCAATGTTCTGAATATAGGCAAAACGAATATAATGTCAGATTGTGCAGACATGATCGAGCATATGTTTAAGATTGAAGTATTTACGTGAATGGGTGCACGCTCTAGCGACGCTGGGGGTGGGCTTTTCTTCAAAAGTAGATAGCCATTGGCGGGATAAGCCACATCAGAAAAACAGTCTGACTCTGGACGAAATACAGCCAATGGAAATACAGCCAGTACATGTCATACTTAAATATTTTTCTAGAAAAAATTGTGGGCGATAATTTCTACGCTGGTCTCGGCTGGTCTCGGAAGAATTTACGAGTCCTTACTGTCCGAGACCGAGTCGAGACCGAGTCCAAATGTAACCGAGACGAGACCGAGACCTTAAAAAGTGGTCTCGAGACCGGTCTCGAGACCGAGACCGGTCTCGAGTACTACAGCTCTGCATTTTACCTCCCCACCCGGTACTGTGGTAATAAACACACATTTGAGCTATGAGTACATTTCACTCCCCACCCGGTACTGTGGTAATAAACACACAATAGAGCTATGAGTACATTTCACTGCCCCACGCGGTACTGTGGTAATAAACACACATTTGAGCTATGAGTACATTTCACTCCCCCACCCGGTACTGTGGTAATAAACACACAATAGAGCTATGAGTACATTTCACTGCCCCACGCGGTACTGTGGTAATAAACACACAATAGAGCTATGAGTACATTTCACTCCCCCACCCGGTACTGTGGTAATAAACACACAATAGAGCTATGAGTACATTTCATTGCCCTACCCGGTACTGTGGTAATAAACACACAATAGAGCTATGAGTACATTTCACTCCCCCACCCGGTACTGTGGTAATAAACACACAATAGAGCTATGAGTACATTTCACTGCCCCACGCGGTACTGTGGTAATAAACACACAATAGAGCTATGAGTACATTTCACTGCCCCACCCGGTACTGTGGTAATAAACACACATTAGAGCTATGAGTACATTTCACTCCCCCACCCGGTACTGTGGTAATAAACACACAATAGAGCTATGAGTACATTGCACTGCCCCACCCGGTACTGTGGTAATAAACACACAATAGAGCTATGAGTACATTTCACTGCCCCACGCGGTACTGTGGTAATAAACACACAATAGAGCTATGAGTACATTTCACTCCCCCACCCGGTAATGTGGTAATAAACACACAATAGAGCTATGAGTACATTTCACTGCCCCACCCGGTACTGTGGTAATAAACACACAATAGAGCTATGAGTACATTTCACTCCCCCACCCGGTACTGTGGTAATAAACACACAATAGAGCTATGAGTACATTTCACTGCCCCACTGGGACTGTGTTAATTAATGAACATTAGGGAGGAGTGTGTGTCAACATCCATTAAATGTCAAAAATATCTATTGAATGTAAGTTTTGGAGAGTAAGTGTTTGTGCACAGAGAGAAAGAATGTGCGTGTGAGTTTAACATGATAAGTGTCTAAAAAAGTATCCTTTAGTAGGTTTTGAACAGGTGTGGATTGAGGCAAAATATGAAGAAGGTGGTTAGTCTGAGTATGTGAAAATGGTCCAGAGTGCTCATCTGCTGTCAGGTCTAAATGTTCAGTTGTTAAGTACCACTTTCATCAAAAAACTACATCTGAACTTTTACCTTAGTTGTTCTGAATAAAAACCTATTTTACCCAGAAAGTTCACAGGCAAGAGACAGCAGCGTACTATTTTAAGATAAACCCTTTATTCAACTACTCCAAAGCCACATTACTTGTAAAATTCAAGTTGGTATTGATTATTTAGATGGAGTTCGGTGGAAAAGTTGAATGTTTTTCCATGTCCCTTTATAATGCAGTATAATTACTGAACATACATGCTCAGCTTCAGAGGCAAGCAGACACGGCTATATAAGGAAAAATACTTGCGGACATAACATCAACTTCTGCCAGCTTGAAGTTAGCTGAGTTAATAAAGACAATATGCACAGAGCGACTTCTGCCCTGGCCTTCCTGACTCCATATCCATACTGTCCAAATAAAATATGAAAACATACACTATATCATTTGTTTGACTGAAACACAAGGTGTTCCTAGGTGAGGAAACACAATATCTCTCTGACATACCTGAAGAAGCTGTTCCAATTCGATAAAAAGCAAATCTGATATCTCTACAATCCACCACAGATGATCTCACTAGTCAAAAAATTCAGCCTATTTTTCCCTTGGCAGAAGTACTGCCATAACTGTTAAAAGGATAGTCTGGCCTATATTCATATTTGGGTAACATTACGATTACTCCATGTCATTCTTAAAGGCACATGGAGTCACATTTTCAATCAAACAAGCCAATATCGAACTCTGTCCCAGCATGGAAAGTGTTTTTAGAGTTTGTTTCCGCATGCAATGCAGATTTTGTGGCATGGGACGTTTCAATTCCTGAATTTGGAACATGCCCAGACAGGGACAGTTAGCGAGTTCTGCATTAACCCTACCCCAGGTAAACTATACTGCAAAAACATCAACCCATGTGAAACACATTCTGTCCAAAATATGTGAAATAGGCTGTTTGTCATGTCCGTGACATCCTATTGCCCTGGCGAGTGCTTGTGTGAGTGTTACGGCACTTTACCTGTAGCGTTGCCCTGTGGATCAGAGACAGCTCTACCAATAATCCAGTCTTAACAACCTGAGGTGTGAAAGTAACCATGGTCACATATCTGCTTCATGCAATGCCTGTCAGTGATCCTTCAGATTCATAAGCCCTGGTAGATATCCTCACCAACCCACACCAGAATCAGAGTCTAAGGGTTCTAGCAGAGCTTGGTCTGCTAAAGAAATGCATTAGGAATCAGTGTCCGGCTTACAGTACATAGCCCTTAGACATCGATGTAAACTCCAAAAAACTAAGAACGACACCCGTTTTCATACATGGAAGTTTCTTTGTCTGATTTGTCCATGTAGTTTAGTGCTGTAAAAGCTGTTTGCCCTTGAATCCACAGATTTACTGTTTAAGGTTTTTTTCTTCTGCTTGTTATGGTATTTTCTGGCAAAATAGAACAGGAAATAAGAAATACAACTGACCTTGATGAAGGCTGTAGGCTTTCCGATACAATTTTTTTTTATAAGAAATCTGTGGAGATACAATGCCTGGACATATTTAGTTGGTGCACAATGGAATGCAGATGTGAAGAAATCAGAATTAGGAAATATTATACATGATTTTGATAGTGATTCGATTTGATAGAAAATGCATTAATAAGCAACGTATAACATAGATGAGATAAATCACGATCTTGAACAATGCCAGTGCAGTGTTGTCCCCAATTTTCAAACAGAAAAAGCATCCATACGACCTTCACACAAGTAAATGAATAAACTGTGTTAGTAAATGAATAAACTGTGAGTCTAACTTAAGTAGGATCCCTGACTGATGGGCATTTAGGCATCAATCAATCACATTTATTCTATAAAGCATTTTTTTACAACAAAGTTGTCACAAAGTGCTTTTACAAACACCCAGCCAGGGGTGGCCAGTCCTCTTACGGCCGTGCTAGGTGACCTTTTAATAATTTAATAATTATTAAATGCAGAGAGTCTTATGAAATAGTCCAGGTCAAATACACGACCAGTCAGAAAGGAAAAACCAGGAGTATTGAGGGTTAGGCATAACTGTCAGGTAGCATCAGCGGCGTGGACTTGAACACAACCAGGGGTGCTTTAGGAGGTATCTGGTCCATGTCCTTAGGGTCGGTCCCAGAGTGTGGTCATGTCCTCGTAGCCCAAGATGGGTCTCCGATAGCAATATGATAGATGCAAAAAAAGGGTAATACCACCTTAACAAGTGTAGTTGGTGTAGCTCAGTGGTAGAGTGCATGCTTTGTATGTATGATGTCCTGGGTCAATCCCAGCTTCTCCCAAGGTCGCCGTTGCAAATGAGAATAAGTTCTCAATCGGCCTACCTGGTTATATAAAGGTTAAACAAACAAACAAACAAACAAACAGATGGAATGGGCACCAGGTGTGAGTGATGACAAGACCAAACAATGATAAACAAAGGTTAAACAAAAGAACGGTGGAGATAGAGGGCCGGTGAGGACAAACGCCAAAGCCTGCCCTTAGATGGCGGTAGGGCAGCTTCGGAGGGAGCTTTGACAGTTTCACTGATAATTTACCAAATATATAACCAAGGATTTTGGGGACTATATTTTAATTGAAATCCAATTTCAATAATATATGCATTGCTCTTTTCAATTTGCAAAAAGAAAAGTATCGCAACAAGAGCTTAGATATAGACTCAACAAAAAAGCGCCAGTGGCGTTGACAAATATTCAAATCAGCAAACCCACTGAAATTCTTTTGAAGAAGTGAGGTGTGATAAAAGTATTTAGCAATAACTTCCAGTCTTTATCTACGGGAAACTGAAGTGAATGACAAATGTAAGCGTGGGCTTTAGTAGTGACTAGTGGGAGGTATCTGTCAGAGTGCATGATACCATCTGTCAGATTTACAGACAATGACACTATAGGCTGTTGTTTTTCAGTTGGCTGCTCACAAGGATTCTTCTGACTGAAAACATTTTTCCCCTAACTTAGCAGTGTTGGGGGTAACGAGTTACAAAGTAACGGATTACAGTAACGATATTACTTTTTTTGGTAACTAAGTAAAATTACGCATTACACTAAAATTATCGGTAACTACACTCCTTTACTAGACTATAGGAACGCGCGTTCCTGCGTTACCCAAGCCGTGTTTGACTGTGTTAAGTTATGATCTTTATGTGGTGCGTGCATGCTGTCGGTGTGTGTGTGTGCGTGTGTGTGTGTGTTTGCCCGCGACTTGCAAGGCAACGTCCGATAGGAAAACATTTTCCATTAACCTGGACAAGTGTTATTCCGACATGGAATCAGAGCTCAAAATAACGTTTGAGTCCATGGATCATACGTGTCTATCACAGCAGACATTTGGTCCGCGAACAACAAAAGTTATTTAGGAATGACGGTGCACTGGATAAACAGCATTAGTTTTAAACGCGAGAAGGCTGCTCTTGCCTGCAAGAGGGTGAGAGGAAGACACACTTACGATGTCATAGCTAGTGAAATAGAACAGGCTCCTTTACAGTGAGGCATATTTTTGTGCAGACAGCGATATTGTTCTTTCATATGGGTTTACATGCCATTTGGTATACATTCATGCAAACACTATGCAGAAGACTAAGTGATGATATGGCTATGATGTTTGTCCATGTATCTTCATAGTAAATTAATAAACGGGAAAGTAAAGTAAAGTAAAGTAATAAGTAGTGAAGTTACTTTTCAAATGCAGTAACAAGTAAAGTAATCACATTACAATTTACAGAAGTAACTAGTAACTTGTAACTTATTACTTTTTTGAGTAACTACCCCAACACTGTAACTTAGTATGCATAGTTTATTAAGCAAAGTACTTTGACTTAAGTAATCTACAAAATAAGTGACTTTTGATTTTAAAACCTAGCCACATAATTTACATCCAATGATGGAGCATTGTTTATATGACTCAATCTGAAACAAAATGGGTCTTTAAAATGCATCTTGAGGTTTGAAAATACTGTATACAATTTGACAGTTGATCAATGCCTCAACATTACTGCCAAACTTGACAATTTAAATCCCCACCTTTTTGTAGAATTAGCACATGTGCCGTCTCTATTAAACCAGGAAGGGCATGAGACGAATTATGAGAAAATAAATTACATTTTCATTCAAATAAGTAGCCTATAAGATAAAATGCTGGCTCAGGTTCAGCAGATAAACATGGTATCTGTATTCATCTGGTTTAAACCCAGAGTAGGCTGAAGGAGGCATGTTTGTCTGCCAGAGACACTCATCGATCAGAACCAACATAGGGTCATGGTCAGGAATACAGATGAAAGTGGAAATACAGATGAAAGTTGAAAACACTGAAATGTTGTGTGCAGAGGTTCTTTACTACACTGCAAAATAAATACTGGCAGGTCAATGTGCCAGCCCAGCTAAAATAAGAGACTGAATTGCATCTACCCTTGTCCTGATGAAACCCTGTATGGCAAATACACTACTGTTTAAAGTTGGTTGGAAATGTCCTTGTTTTTAAAAGAAGCCCATTTTTGTCCATTAAAATAACATCAAACTGATTAGAAATATAGTGTAGACATTGTTAATTTAGTAAATTACTATTATAGCTGGAACTAGCAGATTTCTAAAGGAATATCTACCCAGGCGTACAGAGGCCAATTATCAGCGACCATCACTCCTTTGTTCCAATGGCACGTTGTGTTTCATAATCTAAGATTATCATATAAAAACTTAGAATTGATCATTTGAAAAGCATTTTGCGATTATGTTAGCACAGCTAAAAACTGTTGTGCTGATTAAATTAGCAATAACACTGAACACCCTTCACAGAACAGTCCAAACTGGCCCTAGACAAAATAGAAAGAGGAGTGGGAGGCCCCGGTGCACAACTGAACAAAATAACAAATACATAAGTATCCAGTTTGTGAATCAGACACCTCACAGGTTCTCAACTGGCAGCATCATTAAATAGAATCCACAAAACACCAGGCTCAACTTCAACAGTGAACTGGTAACTCCAGGTATTCCTCTGTCCAGGGTTTGTGTTCTTTAACCCGTCTAAAAAAAAATATTGGTCAGTCTGTGATATTACTTTTCCTTTGCAACTCTGCCTAAAACCTCAGTTATCTAACCCTTTCTGTCTTTACAATAGTAGTTTTTACATCCAGCCGATTTCTTAGGACATAATAAGCGTCCATCAATCAGATGTAATTTTATATGTGGTACTATTGGAGTCACGATAAGAGCCACTACAGGTCTGTTCTCCATACAACTGCTGCTCCATCACCCTTTTTTGTAAAAATCAAGGACAATCAGGTGAGTATTCTTATCCTCCATACTGTATGTCCAATACATTGTTACAGTTTAGGGACACGATACTGTTATTTTCACTTGGGTCAGTCTGACTCAACTTTCACAACTTGTCACAGTTCTGAAGTGTGAAACATCAGATCGTCCAAGCCACCATGTTGTGTTGCTCGTTTACAGCGGCCCAGTGAATCATATGAGAGAGAGAGGGCACTCCTTAAAGGTTTCTGCTGATTGTGTCCACTTGTATACGATCAATGGAGAGGCCTGCATGTGAATGTGCCTACATGTTAGGTTAGACAGCACACGTTTGGTTGATGAGCTGAGTGAGTGATACATGCAGTTTACCCTGAGCAATACTAACACCTGACAGGTTGGCTGAGCAAAATACACTGAGCCCCACACGAAAATACACTGAGCCCCACACGAAAATGCACTGAGCCCCACACGAAAATGCACTGAGCCCCATACGAAAATGCACTGAGCCCCACACGAAAATACACTGAGCCCCACACGAAAATGCACTGAGCCCCACACGAAAATGCACTGAGCCCCACACGAAAATACACTGAGCCCCACACAAAAGAGCAAATAGGGATAATGACATGATTAGCCTAAGGGGCAGAGAGAGGGCCCAAACCCCGATCTATTTGCTTTGTAGGTTTATTCATAGTCCAGGAAAAAAAAGCAGGTGATAAAAGATTGCAGAAACAGGAAGCCAGGACAACGATGAACAGGTAGGAAGGAAAAGCAGCAGCAAAAAACAAACCAAGCAAAGAAAAATGAACGGGACCGACTAGGGCTCTGGGAGACCGGACATCCTCTGGACAGAGGGACTGGACACAGACTGGACTGATGTGCTGTAAGCAAGCTGGACTGATGTACTAGACGCAGGCTGGACTGATGTGCTGTAAGCAAGCTGGACTGATGTACTAGACGCAGGCTGGACTGATGTACTAGACGCAGGCTGGACTGATGTACTAGACGCAGGCTGGACTGATGTACTAGACGCAGGCTGGACTGATGTACTAGACGCAGGCTGGACTGATGTGCTAGACGCAGGCTGGACTGATGTGCTAGACGCAGGCTGGACTGATGTGCTAGACGCAGGCTGGACTGATGTGCTAGACGCAGGCTGGACTGATGTGCTAGACGCAGGCTGGACTGATGTACTAGACGCAGGCTGGACTGATGTACTAGACGCAGGCTGGACTGATGTACTAGACGCAGGCTGGACTGATGTACTAGACGCAGGCTGGACTGATGTACTAGACGCAGGCTGGACTGATGTACTAGACGCAGGCTGGACTGATGTACTAGACGCAGGCTGGACTGATGTACTGGACGCAGGCTGGACTGATGTACTAGACACAGGCTGGACTGATGTACTAGACACAGGCTGGACTGATGTACTAGACGCAGGCTGGACTGATGTACTAGACGCAGGCTGGACTAATGTACTAGACGCAGGCTGGACTGATGTACTAGACGCAGGCTGGACTGATGTACTAGACGCAGTACCTGTATCTCCAGTGCTGTATCTCCAAACTTGTTTGTAAACATTCAGAGTTTCCCAACACTCCATATCTCTCCGGACCAAGCCAGTGCTAGTGAGTCGGTTAGAAGAAATTATATCAAGGGCTCCAGAAATGAGGATTGTCCTGTCGATCAATTACAATTTTTGGAGAAGTGTCTCCCTCTAGCAGAGAGAGCAGCCCTCACAGTGAGCCAACTAAACATCTGAGCTCTATGGATTAGCTGCTGCTTCCTGCCTTCTCCAGCTTGGTCTTGGGATCCTGTTTGTGGAACTCGTAGGTGGTTTTCTCAACAGGCTTTCTTAGCTAATAAAGAAAAAAGGGAATTCTGTAAATTCTATATACATTACATTTAAATCAACTGGAAAAAGATGGCGATAAAACACAAACATAACAATATTGACTTTATGCTTGTCTTTAGTAGAGAGCATTGTGTTGCCAAAATATCTGGTGTAGTTAGTCACCGAAGAGGCAGAGTGAAG